GAAGAAAGGACGAAGAGAGGAAGGAAGAAAGGAGGAAGGGAAGGGGGCTGAATAGGTAATGCATGATGACCACCTCCCAAAAAATGCTTCATGATCACCTCCCACCTCTCACCTGCACACCCACACTGCCCAAACCGCCCATGTCCGTAGTCGCCGCACACCTAGCACACCTCCCTGCATGCTTAGCAACTTTAAAACAATGTTTTTAACGCCATTACATACAAATAGTTCACTAGTTGCCTTTAAAATTTGTAAAACAGGGCAAAACAATGTTTTTTCCCATAAAAAAAAAGAAGAGGAAGAAGGAGGGGGAAAGGAAGTCGCTATCGCCATTGGTTCGAGTTATAGTGGCGACGGTGGTGGTTGCGCATCCTCAGAACAGTAGCGGTGATGGATGTGAATCAGATTTCCAGCATTCTTCGGCTTGGGCTTGGACTTGAGCGGCAATGAGAGTGAAGAAAAAGAAAAAGAGGAAGGAGGGAGAAAGTTGCTACTGCCGCTGGTTCAAGTTGTAGCGGTGACAACAATTGCACATCCTCGGAATAGTAGCGGTCATGGTGGAGAAGGAGGAGAGTCTGGTGACAAGCAGAGATTGGGAGGTCTTTGGATAATATTTTGTTGGATCTGGCTTCCACTGGTTCAAGTTGCAGCGGTGACGGTGGTGGTTGTGGATCCTTGGAACAGTAGCAGTGGTTGATGTGAATCAGATTTCCAACGTTCTTTGGCTTGGGCTTGGACTTGAACGGCGATAAGAGCGAAGAAGGGAGTTGCAGCGGTGACCCACACAGTTGATGGTGTTCGCTCTCCACTCAGATTCAAACTAAGTTCTCCTCTCAATCAAGATGCTATTAAAGTGATGAAAAAAAACATAATTTCCAATTTTGCGCGTTTATTCAAATAGGGGCAAAAGTGATATTTCACCTTCCCTAATAGGATTTAACGATGCAGATAATTGTCCGAAACAGTAGGGGTGGAGTTAGTCAATTAGCTAAACCATAAGGGTACTTTAAGAAACTTACCCAATAAAATAAAGGGAAATCCCAATAGGTACCCTGTACTTTAGGCCGAGTGCCAATTTAGTACATGAACTTTAAAACGTGACAATGTAATACCCGCGAAATGCAACAATCTAGTACCTGTTGTTAACCAGCCGTTAAGTGTCATGTGAAAAGACACAAATACCCTTCAAGTGTCATCTAATTTTCTTTATCAATAGAGAGGAAGGCTGAGCACCTACAAACAGTTGAACCGTTGACCCAGAAACCGGTGGCCAGAATGGCTCCGGCTCTGGATCATTTTTTAAAACATTGAAATTTTGTATTACAGTTTCTCTATTATCCTTCTCACATGACATGGTTTGGCAAAAGAAGCAAAGGCAAAGCCAAACTATCTCTTCCGTTGAGTCAAGTTCAAACCGTCAAATGCTTACATAGAAGGGACGTGAAGACCGACGACTACACCCATGACCAGAAATTGTCGTTTAAGCTGACAAAAAACTATGTTACTGTTCCTAATGGGTTTTAGTGCCCCTGAAACTTTGATACTCCACGATTGTGTCCAAGTCGTCCTGATGTATAGAGTAAGCATCCATTAACTCAACAACATTCTGAACTACTTTAACCTTAGAGGCTCAGTTAATCGTTTCAAAAGAAGAGTGAAGTAATCAACTCACAAGGTTTCCCTATCAGAATTGTATTTACGAAATGCAAGAAGATGAGCATGCACATTTTCCAAAAGCCTCAATTTTTTCCCACTATAGAGTTCTTTCCAAGCCACCTACCAAATCTATTAAAATTGCATGTGCTCCCCCTGTTAAAGGGTCTCTCTTCTCCCATGCAGCACAAAGCAGTAGGGATTATGCAAGATGCAAAGCAGCTAGTTTGGGAGGGTTTCCACTGTTGATATCTTCTAATTTAAACATTGATTATATCGCCATTTGGAATAGACTTTGTAGCACGTGCAAGCAAGTTCAGTCCCTTGATCCCATTATAATCCTTGCCAGCAAAGCTAGGTACATAATTGATGCAATTTTCCTGAATAATAAGAGGGACTAGATCAGGGTCGCTCATGCTTAATCAATTCTCTCATCCATTCTCAACTTCCCCCATTAAAGCCAAATAGCTCATCAACGGAAGTAAAGGGTGAAATGTCTTCATCCTTTAAACTATTAAGAAGACCGTTTCTTATGTCATCGTATTTGATTTAGTGTCACTCACATATCTCCATTAACTCTCTCTCTCTCTCTGCAAGTTCATCAAATACAATCTCATTAACTTGAAGTTATTTGTTTGCAGCAAAAATAAAAAAAAAGCCTCTTTGCCATCTGTTGTTTTCTCTATTTCTGAAAAGTAAGAATCAACCAACACTACAATAGTTGACAAGGTTTTTTAGCTTTTGACTATAGCGATCATTACAGATACAGATGATAGGTATCTTGAAAATCTGGACTGTTGAGAGTTTGGGCTCTGTTTCATTTTCTTGAAAAAGAAGATGATGAACAATATGTTTTATTTTTAAGGGTAATTTTGACATTTTTCAAAAATCTTAAATCACATATAAGGTCATATGATATACATAACTGACGGTCCATTAACAGTAGGTAGTAGATTGTCATATTTCAAAAGTTTGGATACTAGATTATCGCATTTTCAAATTTAACTGCAGTAGATAATTTCACTGCCCATCCAAATCTGACTGCAATAGATAATACATGCAGCATATAGCTTCAACAAATGGGCCGGACAGCCCAACCTTGGGCCAGATTTTAGCTCAAGGCTTCTTTTGTAAGTTGCAAAGATAAGCATCAATATAGTGTTGCCGCTTGAATCTAGAAAGTCTAACATTTTGCAATAAACAACGAGAAAAGTAAGGCTTTGCTGGTTTACAATGCAATTATATTTTTATTAATACAAATGTATAAAAGTATAAATTAGAAAAGTGTAAATTCTAATTCATTTTATAGGACAAATTTCTTAAACTACCCTTAAGGTTTAGGAAATTGACTAATTATACATCTATTGTTTCAGTATTGCTGTAATGTATTTCTACTGTTTCTGACAATTGATTAAATCTTCTTTATCATTATTGTCTTTAACAGAAAGATTAAAAATATTATTTTGTCCATCATTCTTCTTTAAATTTTTAAAATAAAACTTTTGACAACAAGATCTGACTAGACTGCAAAGAAATTCTTGCCTGCTACCATTGTTTTCTACCTCACAATCTTCACCAACATGAATTTGCTTCATCACGCCAATATCAATACTTTCATCGTTTTCAGATCTTGTACGCCTCTTTTGGTTGCCATAGCGGATACCGCATTTCGGAAACAGCCCTACCCGTCGAAGCTCACCTTTGCATTTCCGGTGATAATATTGGGTGGTGCGGTTGGATATGTGGCCACTGATTCAACGTTCACCCTCATTGCTTAGTCATGGGCATTCACTTATTTGATGATGGTTTACATCAAATACGAATCTTGGGTTGAACACCTGGGGTTTTGAAAATTTCAATGGATTCCATTCATTTTTCTTTTTTATTTCCGTATATTTATGGCACTTCTTTCTCATGTTCTTTGAATTTCTATAAAAATAGAGCTTAATGGAGGGGCCCATCTCCTCGCTCCCCTTCTCTCTTTCTCCCTGATTACCTCTGGTTCCACCTCTGATTTTGTGCATCGTCAAAAATTTCAAGTTGCTTTTATTATTGTTAAGAACCCATTTGAGAAAATCATTGAAGTTACAGACCTCTCTAAGATAACCTGAATGTAGAAATTCGTCCAATAATAGAACCCTCTGAAGGGATCCAACCTTCAAAATAAGAAACCAGAAACTAGAGAAGAGAAGAAGCAAGGGCCCTATCAGCTAGTGGAATTTGTTTTTGGAAATGTAGATTTAAATTAAAGAAATTGTTTTGGGTTCTATACCGAGGTAGTGATTTCGAGACGAAGGAGAAGAGGGTTCAGATCTATCTCTTCGCAGAAAATTCTATTGTTTCAGTTGGTGTCTGTCGTTTTCAGTAGATTGCAACAGGACGCAGCATTATAGTCTTGAATATTCACGAGGAGAAATTGATGAAAAAGACATTTGAATTGAGGGAACTAAGAAGCAAAGGCTTACGCGGAGTTTTGAGGAGCTTATTCCCAACTTCCAATAGCATTTCTTCCAATGATTTCTCTGAGTACGCCATTTCCTATTCGTTCCAGATCCTCGAAGCTTCGAGTTTCACTGCCACTTACACCATTGAAACCTTAAACAAACCCTAAAAACCAAACCAAGGATGTGACAAACAGAACTGTAAAACCGTTGTGTTAGAGGTTAAAAATGGGGAGAATTGCACGATGCTGACGTGGTTGGGAATTGCTCCAAAGGGTGTCGTTGACATTTACGATGAAGGCATCATCTCCCGTCTCTGTCCACATTGTCCCGCTTTAGGAATTTGATCTGTATTTGAATGTAAAAACTCGTTTAAGTCCTTGGACACAACTCCCATAGTCTTAGCTAAGTCAAAAATTAGTTTGGTCACACAGGCATTACTGGTCTTTCTCTATCCGTTCTATCAAATCTTCAGAAAGCCACTATTGTTCTTGTTGCAAGGATAGGAGGGTTATATCCTTGAAACAATTTCGCAGGTCTGTGATGGTGATCTTCGTTAAAAAGGGTATTTTAGGTATAATGTAAAATTAAATTAAACACGTGAAATCATGTATAAACCGTCTGTGATAAATTTAACGGAAGGGAACTGTGCGGCAATTGTCAGAAATAATTAAGGCAATTCTAAAATAGTAGAAATAAAATTAATCAATTTCCTAAACTTTAGGGATAATTTAAGAAATTTGCCCATGGATGTTATTGGTCGCTTCATCAGCGAACAACACGCTGCGTGCCATAAGGGCCTTTTCATCATCTTGGCCTTGCCCAAGGGTATTATCGTTATTTCCTGGTGACATTACTACGAAGACGTTAATTGCAGACGTTTACGGTCTCGACTGAGCAGAGCTCTCCCCAACGCATTTATGGCAAGGTAATATTGGGCTGCGTGGATCTAGCTCCATTAACTCTCACAATCACGGCCCTCGATAAACAGAGCCGCACCCACCGTCCAAATTAATTATTTGCACTTGATAATTGTGTTATAATGTCTCATGTCAGCTATGCACTTGATAATTGTGTTAGAAGCTTAGAAGACTGATTTTTGGTGTATTCCTGTTTGGTTCATAGATGATCTTGATGCCAAAAGATAGAGCGCCGAAAAATCGCGAGAAATACATCTTTGGCTGATTTCCAGAAGCTATGATCGTAGCTTCCGAGCGTTTACGCCCTCTCGGAGCTTCACCATACGTGTGCTTGACGCTCATACTGTTCCAAAACCCTCATTCGCACATGCATCTCTCTCAGGTCGCAACAGGTTCGCTCTTCCACCTCCTCCTCCTGCTCCGCCACCGCCATCCTCTGCTTTGTCTCTCTTCTGTCGTCGCCTCCACCACACCCTATTCCACTAATCATTTTTCCCCTTTTTACAGGAGATTACAAATCACTCGGTGCTCGTTTTTCTCGCGGCGGTGGTCGTCCACCATTTGATTCGTGGTTTGCATAGTACAACTCAATATGTGGTGGCGGTGGTCGTCCACCATCCCAATATGTATTGTTAGTGTTTTTTGTTTAATCGATTGTTGTTTGCGTAGGTCCATCTCAGATCAATTCCATTTTCTTGCTAGTCAAATTTGTTGTGTTACGTATGGATTGATGTTAACCACTGAGATTTTTTTTGTGTTTATATTCATCTGTAATGTGGTATGTGGTTTGATATGGATTAATGAGAACCACTGATTTTTTTTCTATGTTTATCATCTGTAGTGTGGTATGTGCTTTGATATGGGAATCACTAATCTTTTTGTGTTTATATTCATCTATAATTTGGTCTGTGGATTGACATGGATTAATGTGAACCATTGATTTTTTTTTCTGTGCTTATATTAATTCGTAGTGTGGTTTGTGCCTTTATATGGGAATCACTGATTTTTTTTTTTGTGTTTACAGTCATCTGTAATGTGGTCTGTGGTTTTCTATGGATTAATGTGAACCACTGTTTTTTTTTTGTGTGTGTATGTGTGTTTATATTCATCTGTAGTGTGGTCTGTGCTTTGATATGGGAATCTCTGTTTTTTTTTTTGTGTGTTTATATGTCATCTGTAATGTGGTCTATGGTTTGATATGGATTAATGTGAACCATTGATTTTTTTTTTTTTTTTGTGTTTATCATCTATTGTTTGGTCTGTGGTTTGATATGTGAGTGATTTTTTTATGTTTATATTCATCTATAATGTTCTGAAAACGGATGGATGAATGGCTTTTGGCTTAAGATTTACAGTCACAAAGGAGGCTATACAAGAGAGATCTTCATAATATGCAAATCATTTTAGGAAGAGGCTATAGTCCTGTATACGGTTTTCTTATCTTGGTTTAA